GCAGTAAATCATCCCAGCAGAGTCTCTGGGTGCTGCACAACCACCACTCCCCACCCTCTCCTGACTTTCCCTTGCTTCACAGGTATTCCCCAATATCAGTGCAGGAGGAAAAGGATGGGCTTTGTCCAGCCAGGCTGAGGTGAAGCTCCCCACCCCCCAAAAAACCTCCCCTCCTGGATCTGAAATCATTCCTGGGTACCAGCTATGGAATCTCAGAAGTTTTAGGTGGAAGGCTCAGCTGAGCTGAGGCTACACCACCAATCCTTGTACTAGTACCACATTCCTTCCTTCTCCCATTTCCCTGCCTGAACACCACCTGGAAGACATTCCTCATTTCCCAAACACTACAGCAGGAAAAGCAGAGTAAAAATGGATAAAACTCAATCAAAGACCACAGAGGAGCTCCTGGGAGTTTATCTGTTTTTCAGTGCAACTGATCTTCATTTAGAAATTATATTAAATTTGAAAGCAGCCCTGAAAATCCCCTCACCGTGGTACAGCACCCAGCACAACATCATTCAAATTAAAATATATTTCACCTCCTACTGTAAACAGCAGCAAGAAGGCAGAGCAGGGTGTGGTGAACAGCTGGAGCCTTAATTCCAAATGGAGCTGGCAAGTTTAGGCTCCACGATAAAAACCCTGTAGACATTTTGTCTGATAACTGATGAACATCAGCACATTTTCAAACGAGTTGTTCCACTCTCCCAAATACCAGCACCAATTAAAAGCCAAGTCAGATTTTGTTTTTAAAACGCTGGGTCCGAATAATTTGAGTCATTTAAATGCAGCAAATGACTAGAAGTGTGTCTTCTTAGTCATGCTGCATTAGGAAAATCTATTTAAGTGAGGAAAATACACCTGCAAGTAGTAACACCGTGGATTAAACATTGTATTTCAGGTTAGCTCACACTTATGCACCACCAGTGCCTAATAACCACCTTGAAGCCAAGCAGAAAAAGGTGATTTGAAGACTCAATGTGTCAAAAAATAGGAGAGCAGGGAGGATTCCCAGCTTCCAGCAGTACAAAGCATTCCATTCTAGCCCGGGAGGATGAAAATATAGCTGACCATAAATAGCACAGCATCCAGATCACCATGTTGGGTTTTTTTTTTTTCCCTTCCCCTGCTAAAATATTACCAGAATTCAAGTATCTGCTATCTCCAAAGCTGATCAAAGAGAAAAAATATTTAGATTCAGACAAGGGCCTCAACCTTGGAAATATTTATTCATGTGCCTAACTTTAGTTCCAGGACTGCTCACATGCCTGAAGTGAAGTTTGTGTGTGCACTGTGCAAGGAGAAATTACTCCAACTTGTGCCCAGATGAGTAAGAATTGTTGTGAAACCCGTGCAGAAGAGAACAGCCAAAAACTGCTTGCTTGACAGAACTAATCTTTAATTAGGAGATGAACAGTTGCAATAGAAGCTGCTTCAGTGCTTTATTAGTTTCATTTAAATAAGATGTTGCTTGTTGCAGAAAAACCCTCTGAATGAATTTTGTATTTGAAAGAAAAGCAGCCAACACAACTGAACA